AGAACAAGCAATCCTAAAATTCATATGGAACCACAAAAGGCCCCGAATAGCCAAAGTAATTTTGAAGCAGAAGACCAAAGCAGGAGGCATCACAATCCCAGACTTTAGCCTCTACTACAAAGCTGTAATCATCAAGACAGCATGGTATTGGCACAAAAACAGACACATAGACCAATGGAATACAATAGAAACCCCAGAACTAGACCCACAAACGGATGGACAACTAATCTTTGACAAAGCAGGAAGGAATATCCAGTGGAAAAAAGACAGTCTCTTTAACAAATGGTGCTGGTAGAACTGGACAGCAACATGCAGAAGATTGAAACTAGACCACTTTCTCACACCATTCACAAAAATAAACTCAAAATGGATGAAGGACCTGAATGTGAGACAGGAAACCATCCAAACCCTAGAGGAGAAAGCAGGAAAAGACCTCTCTGACCTCAGTCGTAGCAATTTCTTACTGGACGCATGCCCAAAGGCAAGGGAATTAAAAGCAAAAATGAACTATTGGGACCTCATCAAGATCAAAAGCTTCTGCACTGCAAAGGAAACAACCAACAAAACTAAAAGGCAACCAACGGAATGGGAAAAGATATTTCCAAATGACATATCGGACAAAGGGCTAGTATCCAAAATCTATAAAGAGCTCACCAAGCTCCACACCCAAAAAACAAATAATCCAGTGAAGAAACGGGCAGGAAACATGAATAGACATTTCTAAAGAAGACATCCAGATGGCCCACAGGCACGAGAAGATGCTCAACGTCGCTCCTCATCAAGGAAATACAAATCAAAACCACACTCAGATATCACCTCATGCCAGTCAGAGTGGCCAAAATGAACAAATCAGGAGATTATAGATGCTGGCGAGGATGTGGAGAAACAGGAACACTCTTGTACTGTTGGTGGGAATGCAAACTGGTGCAGCCACTCTGGAAAACAGTGTGGAGGTTCCTCAAAAAATTAAAAATAGACCTACCCTATGACCCAACAATAGCACTGCTAGAAATTTACCCAAGAGATACAGGAGTGCTGATGCCTAGTGGCACTTGTACCCCAATGTTTATAGCAGCACTTTCAACAAGCGCCAAATTTTGGAAAGAGCCTAAATGTCCATCAACTGATGAATGGATAAAGAAATTGTGGTTTATATACACAATGGAATACTACATGGCAATGAGAAAGAATGAAATATGGCCTTTTGTAGCAACATGGATGGAACTGGAGAGTGCTATGCTAAGTGAAATAATGCATACAGCGAAAGACAGATATCATATGTTTTCACTCTTATATGGATCCTGAGAAACTTAACAGAAACCCATGGGGGAGGAAAAGGGAAAAAAAAAAGGTTATAGAGGGAGGGAGCCAAAGCATAAGAGACTCTTAAAAACTGAGAACAAACTGAGGGTTGATGGAGGCTGGAGCAAGGGGAGGGTGGGTGATGGGTATTGAGGAGGGCACCTGTTGGCATGAGCACTGGGTGTTGTTGGAAACCAATTTGACAATGAATTGCATATTTAAAAAATAAAATAAATAAAAACATTAAAAATTCTACATTTATGAATTTAATGTGCAATCTCCTAATTTTCCATATAGGATATACATTTTTCTTTCAACTACATGTGGGATTTTCTCAGGACTAAAACATCTAATGTATGCATATACACAAAATATCAAATGAAGAAATCCACTATAACGAAATGAAATCATACTGGTGAACACAGATTACATTTTTTATGGCAGTACTCAAGGTGGGGTGATATTTTCAACTGGGGGGGGGGTTAACAGACACGTACACCACAATTCTTGAAGTTATAGCAACTTGCCTGCGCATCAGAAGATCTGTCTTCTTTCTTACAGGGAGAGAAAGGAGCCTTGAAAGTATGTGTGGTGAATGTAAAACTCAGGCAGGTCTGTGAATCTCTGACTGAGAAAATGAGAAAGAAAGGAAAAAAAAAACAGTGGAAATGTATCGAACAGGGTATCTAAGCATCAATTTTCATAAAGAAAAAATACCATCAGGCTTTTTCTTCTAAAATTGATTCAGGATGTTTGTTTGGTACAGTCTTACCCATACTGAGAAGTGGCCTTGGTATGTTCTTTGACCATGAGCAGTCTGGGAGGGACGCCGTGAATCTGCTTTTAGTAAAACCTGCAATCAATTTAAAAGTATTTCAGATGTTCACGAGTTCATGAGAAATCAGAAAACATGCCAAATCTCAACTGAAAAGGGGATAAGGTAACGAGGATGTTTTTAAGATATTATTGATGAGATTCCCTCCAATAAAGACAAGAGAGGATAACTGTAACAAATTCTGTTGCAGGAATAATATTGAACATTCAAGAAACGGGCAGTTCCCGACACAACATACCTGTCAGGTTTCCAGTTGTTTCCAACGACTACAACATTGTTGGGAAAAAATCCCCACTGAAAGTTCATGAAAGCATGTGCGATGTGGAGGTCACATTGTGTTTTCACCTCTGGTTCTGGTTCCAGCAGGACTCGGAGAGTGGGTCCCAGCTCCTTCTTCTAGAAGGTCCTGAGAGTCAACATTTGGCGTCTTCACTTCCCAACTGAATGCGCCTCCTTTTCCTCCGAATTTGTGTCAGGATTTCTCCCCCGAAACAAGCCTGACCTGGAACAAACCAACCCCAGCTTCTCTGATGTGGGGTCACGGGATCCCCTGAATCCACGGATCCTCCAGGGAAATACCGGCAGGGGAAATGAGGAACAAACCAGGAACAGCCCAGAAAAAGCGAGGGACTGTGCCGCCAACCGACCACCCGCGCTTCCAGGGAAAC